CATCCATTCCGTTTTCCAGACTGATCTTCTATCAAGGGAAGCCCAGAGAATGTTTGAGCAAGAAGGTTTAAAAAGATCTCCTGGAAAATTAAAAGAGGGAGTAACAATTAAGCTAACTGTCTGGAAGATCAAATGTTCGGTTTCATTTTCATTTTCGGTAAGCCCAAAAGATGCTTCTTGGTTAGAGTGCGCTGAATATTTCTACCTGCACCGCTCAACCACCCCCAAAGTATATCACATTAATTCCTGACTGAAGAGGATAGATAGTCAGCCATCTCTTCAAAGGGAGGGCATGAATTGTCCACGGTCCAAAGTGGGCTCCCTTCCTTTTTTCTTTCAGGCAAAGTTGCTTAGAAGCAGCCTCCAGAAATGGAGATCTGGCTTGGTACGTGCACTCGGAGAAGAAAGCGCGTTAAAATCCAAAGCCAACTGGAGCTGAATAGCGGGCAAGGCGCGTCCTTCTGCTATCCCCACTCCCGTAGGGCAACAAAAAGAACCCCTCCTCCCCATTTGCTTTACGAGAATAAGCCACGTGCACGAGGCTCCTTCTCTGCACAGCGGAGTAAAGCCGCCCCCCACCCCCGACTCCTCGGCCCTTCTCTCTCTCCTCCCGCCCTCGAGGCTCTCCGGCGGTTTCTTCCGGCCAGTTCAACGCCAAGGACGAAATCTACCTCCTCCTCAGCCGGCCTTGAAAGGGGCGGGGGGGGGAGTGCGCTGGAAAAACGAGGAAAGGGCAACGGCATCCCTGCCCGGCTGGAGAGTTAGACCATCCCCAACCCGCGCTTTCGCCGTCAAAAGAAAATGGCCCGCGAGCCTCCCCTAACGAATCCGTCAGGCCTCCGGGATCGCGGCCTCCCCCCGCCTCGTTAACTCGGGTCTGAGGAGACGGATTGTAACGGGAGGAGACGCCGTTCTATCGGCCGAAGCCTTCAAGTGGCTTTTCACCTGGAGGGAGCCTCCCCTGCCCAGAGACTCTGCGCGCACCCCGCACGCTGGCCCGCCGCCTCCTTCGCCCTCACGCCAAGCAGGAGCTTCAGTTCCTCTAGGCCAGGGGTAGGCAACCTCGGCTCTTTTATGACTCATGGACTTCAACTCCCAGAATTCCCGAGTCGGGAATTCTGGGAGTTGAAGTCCATGAGTCATAAAAGAGCCGAGGTTGCCTACCCCTGGCCTAGGCGGACGAGCGGCTTAAGATCCCAATAAGGAGCTGCTGACGGACGCGTCGATTCCCAGGCGGCTGAGGCGAGCGGGACGGCTCTTCGGCAGCCTTCCTTAGGGTCTTCGGCTCCTTCGACAGGTCCCCGCAACCTCCGCTGGAGAAATCCTCCATCTTCCCTCTCACAGTCCTCCCTCAAAAATTCCGTCCCCGGCTCTTAAAAAGCCTGACCAGGGCCCGGCCGCGGGAGGCGAGGACCAGCTTCACTGGCTCGCTCCCCCCCCCCTCTTTTCCTCAGGCATTATTTGCTCGAAAGTGTTTAAGTTTATTGCTCAAATGATGTTTCTAATTAGCGCTTCGGACCATAAATCCGAGCGGCTTTTGTTTTCCAACTGATTTATTATTTACAAGAGCATCGACCTCAGACGGGGCGGCGGGGAAGAAAGAGTGAGGTGGGGAAGCCTCAAACCGAGAGAACAGCGGGGATCCACTCGAGGCCTGCGAAGAGAAAGGAGGCTGGCGCCGAGCTGAAGCTGCCAACCCGCGCCTTCTCCCTGGCAGGAGCCCCGGGGGGAAGGTTCGGGAAGGCCGCCGCCCCCCCCCCGAGCGTAATTCGGCTCTGGGACACAGCCGCTGGGAAACCGAGCTGGGGGACCTCTAAGTAGCCGGCGCGGCCAGCGGAGACGCGGCCGCGGATGGGCTGGGGCCCTCTCGGGTGCGGAGGCCCTTGGGCTTGGCCGGGGTTTGTTTCCTTGGCCTCTCCGGAAAGGCGCGGGTTCCAAGGGGGGCAATCTAGCCTGCGCCACGAGACGGCAGATGTCGTCGAGGAAGCCGTTTGCCTCCCGCCTTGTGCCCGAGCCCGTTTCTACTCCTGGCCAGATAAGATCTTAAACTGTACCTTGCCCCCCCCGGGTCCCTCTATTTTTGAGGGGAGGTGAGGGAGGGAGGAGAAACGTATGGTAAAAAAATAGAGGGAAAAGCCTCCGCTGGAAGCAATTCCTGCTTTACAAAAAAAAAAAACCACCCAGGGCCGAGTGCTTGAGACATGAGACCACCGCAGCTGGACTGGGCAAGTCGATAGGTGCTGCCGTACAACAGCCACCGATGGTTTCTAGCGGGATGCAGAAGGCTATGGCCTCTCGCAAACCCGGTTTTCGGTCCCGGCTACCCAGTTCTCCGTCAGCCCGCTCCACGGACAACCTCAGAAGTGGGGGAAGCCCGCTCTTCACGGCCCCCCCCCCAAAAAAAAGATCTCGAAAGGCAACCGGACGGGGAACCAGAGCAGCGGACTGAACGGAGAGATGGGGGGGAAGGGATTGTTGGGAGCAACCGGTGCGCCGCCTTGCCAATGGAGCGCTTTCCAAATAAGACCCGGTGCCCTGGAGAACACTGGTCGCCCCCCCCCCCCGGTGCCCACCGGCCGCTGGGTCCTACTCAGTACTAACACCCGATGGGATGGACGAACGGAGAAGATCACGGGAGAGGCAAGACTTGGCCTCCCTTGTCCTTCAAGTCATAGCAATTCCAAAATCCCAGAAATGCGGGATTGCTTATTTCCAAGCGCCTCGGAGAGAACAAAGGGTTCCCGCAACGCGGCTGAAAATTATTGTTGTTGCTGTTTGCTGAGATCCGAAAATCTCGTTGTTTTTAATTGAAATACAAGTGTGCGCACACATATCCCGTATGTCACCTATTTAGCGCCCAACTAGAAAATAAGATATATCTTGCTCACGCATAGGCTATTGGACACTGAAGATTTCCCCAAAATATTAAAGAATTCTGTAAGTATCTACTGGAATGCGGGGGGGGGGGGGTTTAGTGGCGAATGAACTTTTTTCTCAGAAAAGAGCCAGTACTTTCACTTAGCTCTCCCTTTCTCTAAAATAGTTTACTATTTATTTACGATTAAGCACAAAGCTTTTTGCGTGGAAGCCTCGGCTGACCCGCTTACATTGGCACTTAAGAATAAATATTTGTCTTGGCCCTTTGAGAGGAAAAAACTAATAAATCTCGAGATACTGAAATGTGATAATTGTTAAACAATTGCCTCTGAGATCGCTGGCTGGAGTCCAGCAGGAATTCCATTTGTAACTACAAATATAATATGTGCCAATCTCTAAATTCGAAACATCTGATATTAAACCATACCTACTGATGGTTCATTTTGCAACAGTATACATTAGGTGTATCGCACGGGTATCGTTAATTTTAAGCCAAACACTGTTTTCGGTTGGATAATCAAGTGTCCTAATTGGTTTCTATAACTGGTTCATTTTCACAAATTCTGGAGTTGTTGAGCAGCAATAGATTTAGAGAAGAATCGCAACGCTCCTGCTGTAAAAGTACTAATGTGTAAATCTATGTGTGTTCATATGTGTGAAACCTACTCTTTTCCTTCTTTTCATAATATACCTCTTCCTTATTTTTTTTTTCTTTTCCTGCCATGTTCAGTACTTTACTAATCTGTCTTGCTATCCATTGTAGAGTAGAAACCTTTCATTCTAAACGGGAACCGCAAACCCTCCAGTTGCATCTTGAACATCCCAGGAGGGCAAGCAGAGATCTTGCATTACTACTCACAGCAACGTCTTCAATAGCAACTTTTCCTAATTTCTCCCTCTCCTCCTCCCATTGAGAGAAGGAGCGAGGTGCCCTCTCTCTCCTGGCCTTTAACTAACTGGGAGACAGGGTGCAGCGGGGTAAGGTGCCTGGTCGTTCCCACAGACGTGCCTAAAATCCCACGCGTGTGCCTTAAGCATCTTTCCAGACTCTTCCTCTCTTTCCCTGCCTCCTTCCTCAGCATCTGCAATCGTGGCGGGCCCCGCAGCAGCCGTGGAGGCGGCTCGGCCCGGCGATTGGCTGGCCCTCTGACAGCTCTGGCGGCGATTGTAGGATTCTCGAGCCACGCCTCCCTTCAGCAGGGCCCTGGGACCATTCATAAACTAAACGACCCTCTCCGCAAAGGCAGAGAGCCCTCCAGACGTCCGCGCCGGGAGAGGACGCGAGGCGCAGGAAAGTAATAAGAGCGGCTGCATCCAGTTCCAAAAGTGGGAGGGGGAAGGAAACGGAAAGCGGCGGGAGGGGGGGGGGAGAGAGAAATCCTGGAAAGCGGAAAAGTGCATCCACACGCACAGCCCTTCCTGCTGCTCGAGACAATATATTCGGGACCAAGCGGAAGGTTTACCTGTAATCATATTTTTTTTGAACAAAGGGGAAATCCCGAAGGCGGCCTAAAGCTGGACTTAAACTTCAGAACTTTGACGAGCAGCAGGCCCGGAATCAGCGGCGGGAAGGTCGCCTTCGGGCGAGTTCTTCAGCCGAGGCCTCCGGAAGAAAAAAGCAACGCGACCGAGCAAAGCAGCGGCGCCGCCACGGCCTGAAGTAGGCGAGAGGGAGAGGAGGAGGGAAAGAGGACGGGCGCCTAAGCCTTCCCCTCTGGTCCGCGCCGTCGATCTAGAACTTGGCCGCTCGCCGCTCACGTTAGCTGCGGAAAATCAAATCCCCCCAAGCGGGGAAGAAGGAAGGAGTTTTCCAGTGAAGAACCGGCGCCCCTTCGAAGCCGAGCGGGCCATAAACTGGGCGCAGCTCCGATGTAAAGGAAGCGCCAAACTTCGGCGCCGGAGGAAGGAGGTTGCCGGCTGCCCGTTCCGCTCGGTGGCAGCGGCGGCGGCGGCGGCGCGGGTCCCGACGGCCTTCCCTCCCCCCTCCCCTCCTCGGCGGTGGCAGCGACCGGGCGAAGCGGGCTTGCCTTCTGCCCGCGCGCACGGAGACGACGGCGGCTGCGGCGTTGGATCCGTCAACGTACTGCGAGAGCCCGGTGTACAGCCCGGACGTGTGCCCCAACATGATCGCCGCCCAAGCCAAGCTAGTCTACCAGCTGAATAAGTACTACACGGAGCGGTGCCAGGCCCGCAAGGCGGCCATCGCCAAGACCATCCGCGAGGTGTGCAAGGTCGTGTCCGACGTGCTGAAGGAGGTGGAGGTGCAGGAGCCGCGCTTCATCAGCTCGCTGAGCGAGATCGACGCGCGCTACGAGGGCCTGGAGGTCATCTCGCCCACCGAGTTCGAGGTGGTGCTCTACCTCAACCAGATGGGCGTCTTCAACTTCGTGGACGACGGCTCGCTGCCGGGCTGCGCCGTCCTCAAGCTGAGCGACGGCCGCAAGCGCAGCATGTCGCTGTGGGTGGAGTTCATCACCGCCTCGGGCTACCTGTCGGCGCGCAAGATCCGCTCGCGCTTCCAGACGCTGGTGGCGCAGGCCGTGGACAAGTGCAGCTACCGCGACGTGGTCAAGATGATCGCCGACACCAGCGAGGTCAAGCTGCGCATCCGCGAGCGCTACGTGGTGCAGATCACGCCCGCCTTCAAGTGCACCGGCATCTGGCCGCGCAGCGCGGCCCAGTGGCCGCTGCCCCACATCCCCTGGCCGGGACCCAACCGCGTGGCCGAGGTCAAGGCCGAGGGCTTCAACCTCCTCTCCAAAGAGTGCTACTCGCTGACGGGCAAGCAGAGCTCGGCCGAGAGCGACGCCTGGGTGCTGCAGTTCGGCGAGGCCGAGAACCGCCTGCTGCTGGGCGGCTGCCGCAACAAGTGCCTCTCGGTGCTCAAGACGCTGCGCGACCGGCACCTGGAGCTGCCCGGCCAGCCGCTCAACAACTACCACATGAAGACGCTGCTGCTCTACGAGTGCGAGAAGCACCCGCGGGAGACCGACTGGGACGAGGCCTGCCTGGGCGACCGCCTCAACGGCATCCTCCTGCAGCTCATCTCCTGCCTGCAGTGCCGCCGCTGCCCGCACTACTTCCTGCCCAACCTCGACCTCTTTCAGGGCAAGCCCCACTCGGCCCTGGAGAGCGCCGCCAAGCAGACCTGGCGCCTGGCCCGGGAGATCCTCACCAACCCCAAGAGCCTGGACAAGCTATAGGGCGCCCGGGGGCTCCTTTGCAAACTCTGGCACGGGGGGGAGGGACGGACGGACGAGCGCAAGGACTGAAGAGCGCTGCTGCTGCTCCTCCGCTGCTCCCCTTTTCCTAAACTGACCTTAAAAAGACAAGGCTCTCCCGGCAGCGAAAGGACTTGGCGACAGCCGAGCCAAAACCCGAGGTACATTTCTTCCCCCCCCTCCTCGCCCTGAATCCTCCGTGTGTGCGTGTGTGTGTGGGCCCCCCCCTCCCTTCTCTTCGTCGGCTCTTTTCTCTCTCCTTCCGTTTGCCTGAATGTTGTCACCAAGTGAAAAAACAACATTATTTAACTAGATGTACGATTTTCTTTCTTGAAAAGAGTTCAGGAAAGAAAACAAAATAAATTAAAAGAAGAAAAGAAAAAAAAACCAGAAGCCCCCAAAACAAAGAGAGAAAAAAAAGGAGGGGGAAAGAGTCATCGCTATAAAAGTTTACTGGTGTTAAATGTATTCCAGTGCCAATGACACAAGACTATAATGCACTTCTTTCCCTTCCTACCATTTGCTTAAAATCTGACTTGTTGAAAGCAGTTTAAAAAACTCACGAAAAATAAAAAAAATCGAGTTTAACTTTCCATTGCCTTCGTGTCTCTTTATTCCAAAGATCGGCAATTAAGAGGTGATTGCACCAAAGAATTTTACTTCTTAAGCAGAAAATTAAAAGGAAAAGCAGAAGGGCAATTAAGATAGATTTTTTTCCACTTACAAATTATAACATATTTTGAATGTTTCTAACTGATACCAAACAAATTATCCAAATAGGGAAATGTTTCTGTTGTAAAACAACTCTGGATCCTTATGTAGCTGTTTTTTTCTCCCAGGCAGCCATTAGTTTTTTAATTGTATTTTACAAGTTGATATAACTTCCCTTTCTTTGTAGAATATAAGCTCTTTCTTTCTTCACTTATCTATCCTTCTGCCTTTTCTTGCATATACATAATATAATATTCAATATTACATGAATTTCAAGGCTGTGTAGAATTAACCCTAAATATACAAATTAGGAAATCTAGGAAATTTTCTTTTCTACATAGTTTTACTGAATTTATATATATGCATATGAAACAAGATGGGAACCATTTTTTAGGCTCATTCCCCAAGACAACTGACACTGATTTCCATATTAAAATGATCTTCATTCAGAAAGAATTTTTCATGTGTTTTAAATATGATTTCTCTCTTCTGAAGGAGTCAAACTTGAGAGTTATAGGTTTTGTACAAGCAAATTTTAATGTTCATATCTATCTAATCTATAGAGATCCTTTACTACTGGAATTTTTCTAAGTTTATCCTGAACCTATTGCAAGTTTATCATTGACATCAAAGTGGCTTGCTCCCGAATAAGTATGAAAAGAATTGTAGCCTTACAAAGCTGAAAGTTTTGTTGCCCCCTTAAAAAAACTTACTTTCATTTTTTATTTAGACAAATTGTCACAGAAAGTTTGTGGGGTTTTTTTTTTTTTTACTACTTTGGAAGGGTTGATTAGTCTTTGCATATAAACAGTATGCCTAAAATAGTCTAAAATGAAAATGAAAAAGTATTGCATTAGTTTTGGTGCAATGATAAAGCTCTAAAATATTACGTATATTTCCTGCTTGAATGCGAATGTGCTTATTTGTGTAGTATCAACTTGGAGGCAAAAGAAACCCAAAAGTACGTCTTTGGGCTAAAAATGGTCCAAATCTGCTAAAGGCTTATAATGAACTGAGCCTTCATACAGACTCCACTAGACCAGAATAAAGACTATGCTCTAGAATTCAAGAATCTTGTTAGGAACAGGCTTTCAGTAAGAATATAAACTTTGATGTTATCAGTAACAACAATATTCCCAGCTGCTTTACTTCAAAAATCCAGTCACAAGGTTTTTTGTTCCCAGATTTTAGAAAAATACACGGAAAAATTAAATTGTCCAAACTGGGAAACCCTATTAATTAAACAGGCTTGAAGCAAGTGCAGGATTGGTACTGAAAGAAGGGGTGTGGCTACTCAAGTTTTACTTATCCGCAGCATATGGAAAAGGGAGGGAGGAAAGAAAAAGAAGGGACATGGGAAAATGCCAGGGTTGTAAGAAAACAACATTGTTTTACTGCATGACTTCATAACCCAAACAACAAAAGATTTAGAAAGTTTCCACAAAGAGAACTCAACAGCCTGGAGCTTATCCTACCACCACCACTAACCCAAATACTTCCCAATTTCCATATAAATTAATACATTTGGCTGCTTTTCTACATTCTATAACTACCATCAGTTTAAGATGTCTGGCTCATATTTGTTTTTAAAGTAATATTGTAAACCTAATACCAGTTTACTTCTCTCTTACTAGGAGAGAAGTTATTTCAAAGCAGCAAGGAAATACATATAGCTTACTCTAAAATAATGTATACTGAAGTTTTTAATACTATAATGAGGTAAAGGTAAACTAAGCATTCTGTCTCTTTATTAAAGATGGCTGCATATTTACTTTTAAAATAAATTAGCACGCAAATAAACTGCAGTTAAACTGAAGCTCTTATATGTACACTACTCTTAGCTTGAAAAGTTTACATGCTTCTGATAAGTTTATAATTTTAAACTAGCTGGTGCAATGCTATATAAAAGTATAATTTTAAAAAAAGTTTAAGAATTACTTTCTACTAGGTATTAAAGAATTCATAAATGATACTATTCATATTGTAAAAATATTCATAGAGAACAATAAAATTGCAGGGGTTAGTGAAACAGTTAGTTGCCTATATAGACACAATCTGCATACATTAGATCATACAGTTTTGTGTTCCATTTTCTTCAAGAAAGCACTGCAAATCTCTCTTATATAAAAAACAAACATTATTTCTGTAATAAAGCACATTTAAAAAGACTGCATGTTCAGTAATACTTTCTAATATTATGAAAAACATGAATATTTTAAAGAAATAAGTTTACATTTATAAGGAGAGGTGCGCTTTTGTGAAGCAATGAAATGGAATTTACTTTTGCATTTGGAGATTACAGTATATTTAAGAAAAGCTTAAGCAGAACTGTACAGCACAAATGTACAAGAATCATGGTTTCGGAACATGTACAAGGAATTTCAAAGTCAAAATACAGATATCAAGGGGGCAGTATTGCTAATTTAATATATTTTACCCATTTTCTTGTTTTCAAGCAATTGTATTTCAGGCATCTCCCCGGAGGGTTCTGCCTTGAGGTAATTAACAGAGGTTCTTAGAAGTAATATATTTCATACTTAAGTAGACTCACATATATGAGAGCTCTACTTCAGCTAAATCAAGGACCGAAAAACATAGCCAATGGGCAGAAAAGGCTTGATGGAAAGATTACTTATTATTTGTCTTTTAAAGGGAGGGAGAGAGAGTCAGTGATCTCTTACCTTGGGATCAATTTTCTTAAAACTGGGCTCTTCTTCATCTACCTCAAAATACACTTCAGAGGTGGTGATGGACAGAGTGCCTTTCACTACTACACAAGGGGCCACGAGCTGAGCTGGTGTACACATACTAACAGGACCTACAAAAGAAAAGAAAAGCACACACAGTCCAGCACTTTGTTTGCCATCAGCTGAACAACAAGCACGATTTTTTTCTAAATACACATGCATGTTACTTCTTTTATTCTACCAATCCAGCCCACCCTTTACAAAACAAGCTGCCTCTAACAAAGGACATTTTTATATACACTCCAGGAACACATGCAATGCATTTGTTGCAATGCTGGATTGCCAAAGATTTGAACAAGTACAGCTGCAAGCAATAGAAGTGATTATGTATGCCCATCTAGGTGGCTGTTAGATCATCTCATTTTCTACCCCTGAAAACTTTGAAATGCTTCAGAACCAAATGTCTTAGGTAGGTAGGTAGGTAGGTGGGTAGGTAGGTAGGTAGGTAGGTAGGTAGGTAGGTAGGAAGGAAGGAAGGAAGGAAGGAAGGAAGGAACTATTTTAAAAAGCTGTGATTCCCTGCTAGGTTTTATTTATATTCACAGCCAAGATATACATTCAAAAGTTAAATACACAGTGCTAGAAACTGAAAAGGATACTGTGTTTCATCTGTCAGTTAAATATGTTTCAAGCTATCCATACATGGCTAGTACAGCTCGGGG